TTGTGGTGTTGACAAGTCTGGGTTTTCTCAAATAAATTGAGCACATCAATTATTGTGTTATTTTATGGATTTCATCTGAGCATAGTTTTTATGAATAGGATTTTCATAAGAAACTCTTTATTCATACAAGTAGGGTTGCATAAAAACACATAAAGGCAACAGCAGAAAAAAAACGATTAGAAAAATCATGAACTCATTGTAAAGTGTATTCATTGGTTTATTTTGGGATGGTTACACATTTTTCAAAAGGATTGACTTTTAGTGACATTCGAGTAAAAAGTCAGACAAAATAAAAGCGTTTCTTGGGTTAAAAACCAGTGTTGCCAACTCCTCAGTAAGGAAAGTAGCTATTGGCTCTGCTAAAAGTCGCTAGAAGTCGCGGAATGACGTCAACGCCTAATTTGCATAATCTGCCACGTGACGTGATGTGCTGCAGGGGCGGAGCGGCACCGCGTGATCATTTCGGCCGTCAATCCCGGCGCATGCGCGCTTCATTTGCAGTCCGGACGCTGAGGGTAAACATGCTGTGGGTCCTCCCCACCCCCCTAATAAACCGGAGGGACTGGTTTTAACGCTGGACGGTCGCTCTTTAAGGAATAAAAAATACCAACGGGCTGCAAACTAAGAAGACCTTACGAGACGAGGACGAAGAAGTGTCTGGAAGCAGCTGTGGACGCGGAGCGGTTCTCTCTAAATGAGACGGAATGGACGGCGGCGAGGATAACGTAGCTCATGAATCTGCGGGTAGCTACACAATTCTCCTGTTTGTCTTTAGCTGAGGACGCATGCTTAAAACATAAAGCTAGTAGCTGCCTTACCTTCTAACGCGGTATTACACTAAAGTTTACTTTGGCCGTCTCTAGAAAAACGTGAAAGTGGGGCTCCACCATCTTTTGATTTCTGGGGTTTTACTTGCGCGGGAACGATGAAAACGAATCCCGTCCTCAAACTAAACGAGTTCGATATAAACCAAGAAAGTAAAAACGCCTCTCGTTCAGTTAATTATTTAGCAAAATTCAGGAGTCTGGAGCAGGAGTGTGTTTACACAATGTCAAGGAGGAAAGACATCAGCCATAACCTAAGAGTCATCTGGATTCCACCACCCCTTAGAGAGAGAGTTTATTCACAGGTGAAGACATTCAGGATGGCTGCCAGTTTGTCCAACAAGGTCACCCCTAGCTCATCCATCCCAGATGATCCGAGCAGGTTCTGCAGCACCAGGACCTTAAAGTCCACCAGGAACCCCCCAGGAACCCAAAGTGTTCAGAGTCAGACGGGAGGCCGTCTGTCCCACAGCTGAAGCTGGAGCCAGCCCCCCAACAGGACTGAGATCCAAACCCGGCAGCAGAGCCGTGCAGGAACCTCCATGAGCTGAATAGCTACAGGCAGCAGAGAGGGACAAAAGTCCTCCACAGCCATCGCAGAGACTGAGAGACCACCAGAAACCAGTTTCTAAACTGGCTGCTTTGGGTCTGCTCTCAGTTTTTGTTCCATAAATAAACCAGACAGTGTCTTCTGTCACATGATCCTGTTGTCTCTTTAGGTTCCCTCAAATTTAGAACCTGACAGGATCCAAATGAGGAGGGAAAAGGAAATGTGTCCATTTCAGGAGCATAGTTTGATGACATCGTTGTGGTTGAACTGATGGTTTTTATGTACAGCTGTCGATGGCTCAGCTGGTCCACAGATTTTTTCCTCACTAAACTTTGTCTTCTAGGAAAGGACAGGTCCAGACGATGGATTACTCGGGGGACCTCGTGAAAGTGACCTCATCAAACGGGTCGCAGTGGACGGCCCAGAAGGTAGAGGCTCTGAAACCGGCCCACTGGGTTACAGGACCAAAGGCTCTGGGTTCAGGTTGATCTTTAAAGCAGCAGATGACAAAAGATTTCACCTCTGATCCGGTTCAGTTAAGCCGTCAGGATCCAGGTATTCCAAATGGGTCCAGCTCGTTCATAACCAAGGACACCAGCAGAACCAGGAAGAGATCTCCATCAGGACCAGAACCAGGAACAAACCTCCATCAGAACCAGAAGAAACCTCCATCAGAACTAGGGAAAAAGTTAATCAGAACCAAAACCAGGACAGGATGATATGGGGGACAGAAATACGTTTGATTCAGGGCAGGTTCTGTTCATGGATCCAGTCCTCATCGGGCTGCTTTCTCTTCCAGGTTCTGGTCACCGTCCCGCTGACCCTGCTCCAGAGGGGCCTCCTCCACTTCCACCCCCCCCTTCCTGAGAGGAAGCTGAAGGCCATCCACAGCTTGGGAGCCGGCATCATCGAAAAGGTACCTCCCATCCCCGTCGGCCCGCCTCCAGAGGCTGTCGGTGCCCAGCAGCTAAACCTCAGTCCGAACGTCCCGCAGATCGCTCTGCAGTTCCCGACCCGGTTCTGGGACTCCAAGATCCAGGGAGCCGACTACTTTGGTCACATCCCGCCGGCACCGGAAAAGCGAGGCCTGTTCAGCGTCTTCTACGACCTGGACCCTCAGGTGTGTTTTTAAAGCCATGACCAAGGAGGAGCCGACTGGTTCTGGATCAGAGGGTCGGCTCCTCCCCCTCAGGGTCACTGAGGCATCATGGGAGTCTGAGTATCTGCTCCAGATGTGTGTGTTTAGACTGGGAGGAGAATGAAGGACCCAGTCCTGTGAGGTTCTGGGTATCCGATCCCTGAAACCAAGCTCAGACCCTTTGAGGCCCTGGCTGATGTAACTGTGTCCAACAGGGGAAGCAGGCGGTGTTGATGTCGGTCATCTCTGGCGACGCCGTTCCTGCTGTCTGCGAGCTGGAGGACCAGGAGGTGGTGGGAGAGTGCCTGAAGGTCCTGAGGGAGCTTTTCCCCGAGCAGGTGAGCACCGGTCAGGGGTCCGGTCGGCCACAGCATAGAGGGTCAAGGGTCAGCTGAGACTACCAGGGGAGCAACTACCTACATGCTGAGGGGTATGCAGACTCATTATTGTCATGTTGGAGATCTGATTGGACGCTGCATAAACTCAGTTAAGACATCTAAACTCAAGTGTATCATTCCCCAGTTGAACCATCTCCCTGCTTAAGATGCTGCCCCCCAACCCGACCACAGATAAGCGATGGATGATGGAAGGGTAGAAAACTAAAGGGTTATTAACCCTTTCCTGGCCCCACAGCCCCGACCTCTGCTTGTATCTCCATTCATCCCTGTGGAGGGATCACCCTCAGCCCTCCCTGTGATCATCGGCTCTTTGGGCCACTTCTCTCATATTTATCAGCATCAGAACCATTAACTATGCAGCTTAAAACACACCTGATTTCTTAGAGGTCAGAACCAAACCAGGAGAGGCTTCATTTCAGTTTGATGCTCCTCAAATCTGAATCGGTGTTCTTGAAGAGGTGAAACAGGGTTACTACAGCTGAATTTTTTTTAGCCTTTAATCTATTTATTTTATTTGGTTAAACTTATTTTTATTTGTTTTCTTTATCTTCATTGTCTGCTTTTAAAATGTAAGGTACTTTGAGTTGTCGTGGACACAAAACTCAAACTGTAACATAAACCTGTCTCGCCTCATTTTGGATGGGATTTCCCCTCCGCTTGTGGATTAAAGGTCCTCTTCCTCCCACAGGACGTCCCAGACCCTGTGAACTACTTTGTGACCCACTGGAGCAAAGACAGGTGGTCTCAGATGTCCTACAGCTTTGTGAAGACGGGCGGCAGCGGGGAGGCCTACGACGTGCTGGTCGAGGACGTGCAGGGAAAGCTGTTCTTCGCCGGAGAGGTAACTCTCCTGCCTCCTCCTGAGCCGCCCAACGCCGCCATTTGGCAGCTCGTTTTCACGCTTTGCTTCACACACACCTGAACCAGCACAAACCCAGAGATTCAACCGGCAGCAGTAAGAATCCTAAAACCAGGCACCAATCGGGTGCTGAAATTAAAACCAGATCAAACGCAACATCTGGCAAAAGTTTGAATTACTCCAAAATGTCACAGCTCCTGTAATACACAGAGAAGGAAGATGATTACTAAATGGAGTAGATTTGGATTCAAGCTGAAGCCCAAAGGCAACAGAAACTTGGTGTTTTTGCTGTGTACAACAAGCTGGCCAGAGAGGCTGAATTCCTGTTTTCTGTTCCGGCCAATCAGGGAGTAGAGCTCTCTTCTTCTTTGGGCTTTTTTCCTCTGGTCAGGATTAACTGACTTTCAGACAATCGACGATCTCTGACCCCTCGACTGACCCCTCCCCTTAAGAAGTTTCAGGATGAGAACAGAGATTTCTTTTAGCTCCAAGAAGTCCATCTGCCTGCCCAACCCAAACTACCTCAACCAGTTGGTGACAAAAGAAATGAGAAAATAAAATGAACTCTGCGGGCTGAATATTGTCACTTAAACTCAGTGAGGACAGGAAACGGATCACCAGCTCACCGAGTCCGCTGACTGTTTCAGGATTCAGGCTTCAAGAAGCATCAGGATGTGAGGAGAAAAGTCTCACAAGAAGAAGAAGTCCAGCTGGCTGTGTTTAGGCTCTGAGCATCAGTAACCCAGCTAATGCTCAATATGTGACTGTGTTTGATTCCACTGGTTTTAAACCAGGTTTAACCTTTCATTATTTGTCATTTCTTTTCCCACCAGGCCACCAACCGACACTTCCCTCAGACCGTGACGGGGGCCTACCTCAGCGGGGTCCGAGAGGCCAGCAAAATGGCTGCTGTGTAAGCCGGCGGCCTCGCAGCCCTTGGACTCCGGCACCGCCAGACGGATGGCCGACACGGCCGGCGTGGAGATGAGCGCCTTGGAGCTGAGTGGCGGCATACCTCTGCATCAGGGTCCAGCAGGGCTCTCTGCACCTGCTTTCACACACTTAGCACAACAGCAGGGGAGCTGCTCTATATTTATATCAAATCCCATCAGGGAAAGTGCT